ACCTGGATTTGCATTTCTGTAGGTAGAAGGTTCTTTTTCTTTTTTTTAATTATGGTTATCCAATTAATCTGTCATCCTAATATATAAAATGCCAGTGGCCATCATGACCGAAACAACCGGACAGACGGACAGAAGACCGACGACCAAACAGCAGGCTACGTGGGGTGACAAGGCCGACAGGGGGGTTAGTGAGGGACGACCAAATGACTGAACAAGCAGGCTGCCTGGGCGACCAGGGCTCAGTCTGGGAGAAGCCTGCAACTGAGGTATGTGCCCTTGACCAGAATAGAACTGAGGATCTTTCAGTCCACATGCCGACTCTCTATCCACTGAGTCAAACCTGCTAAGGCTGTTTTTTTGTTTGAAGGTGAGTGTGTGTGTGTGTGTGTGTGTGTGTGTGTGTGTGTGTGTGTGTGTATGTTTGCATGTGGATGTGCAGTTATGCCAGTTTCCATTTCATGGAAAGACTATCCTTTCTCTCAGCTCAGTCACTTCACCTTTCTGAGCTTTGGTTTCCTAAATGTCTTTGTAACACCTGCCCAGCCTGTCTTAGATTAAAAAAAGGTTTTTACCAATGAGGGTCAAATGACATAGTAGGGAAAATGCTATAAAACTATATCATGCTTGCCCTGGATAGGTAGCTCAGTTGATTAGAGCATTGTCCCATAACCCAAAGTTTGGGGTTTGATCCCTGCTCAGGGCACATATAAGAAGCAAACAATAACTGCATAAATAAAGGGGAACAACAAATTGATGCTTCTCTCTAAAAATCAATACATTTTTAAAAAGAAAGAAAGTAGATTAGTGGTAGAAAATAGCTTACGGCTGGGGACCTTGGGAGGAAAGTGGGAGCAATTGCCAAAGGGTATGGGGTTCCTTTGGGGGATAATGAAAATGTTCTAAAATTGATAGTGGAGATCATTGCACAACTCTGTGAAAATATGAAACTCCGTTAAATTGTATGGTATGTGAATTACATCACAATAAAGATGTTTAAAAAAAAAACTACGATGCTTAATAAATATGGTCTTATTATATCATTAAAAGTGGCCCTTGGATGATGGTACAACAGTGCGAATGTACTTGATGTCTTGGATGGTGGTGATGGTTACACAATAGTGTGAATCCACTTAAAATGGTTAGAATGGTAAAATTTATGTTATGTATATTTTATCCTTATAAAAAATTTTAAGTGACTCTTTACACTTGTCCTTAGGGTTCAAGGTGCTCCATTTCTTGGGTAGAGGCATAGAGTAAAGCAAGAACATAAAGGACCCTCACCCTGTTCGGAACGTCAAGAAGATATTGAAAAAGCTAGGTTGGTGACATGAATATTGGCATTGCAACCCAACAGTTACTTCAGTTTCCTCCTTTCTAGATCAGTGAGTGGATGGGTCTTAGTTTGCAGTAGTTTTGGGAGGCAGGTACCAGCCAGTTGCAAAACATGCGTGTTAAAGTCGGTGACTAACCTCTTCTATCTGCCTGTGACTGTCTAATCATCTCAACGCCAAAACAAAACCCAAAAGGCTTACAATCCCAGCGGTGAAGAGCTTTTAAACAACTAGCTGACTCTCTTCGAGCGAGGCCCAGGAGGGGAAGAAACAGATCGATTGGGATGCAATCTCTTTTCCTTTCCCTCACCACTTCCTGGAGGGAGTATAAGGCCCAGAACCAAGGCCAGAGGCTAGAGTCAAAGTAGGAGTCAGGCCAGGGCCTGTGAGTCAGTTATGTGCCACTTAAAGAAGAAGCAACATACAAAGCACATGCATGTTCAGGAGATTTTTCTTTCACTGTCAGTGTTTATCCCTGACTAGTGTCCTGTGGTTCAAGTCCAGATCAGTGGGAAGGGTGTGCTGCAGCACGCGGAGAGGAGGTTCAGTCCTTCTCCACTCTCCTAGGAAGGCGTACAGAGCCAAATCGCGTTTAGCCCGAGTCTCCAGAGCAGGGCTTCAGGCGGAAGCTAAGATTTACGACGGTGGAAACCACTTGGTGGTTAAGTCAAATCAGGCTGTCCTCACGGTGCAGCAGGTGGGGACCAGCTCCCCCAAGTCCTGCAGCTCCTGCAGCACCTCCAGGTCTTCCAGCTTCCCTGGGTGAAAGACCCCGTACATTATTCCTTTCAATAACAAATAGACACAGACATATATGTCAAGATTGAGGCGAGAAACTGTTTAGAGCAAATGACTGAATAATGATCCTTGCAGATCACAGTAAGAATGTAACTAACTTCAGCTTCCTGATTCACGGGCTAATTATTCATCTTCCTTTTAAAAAAGAGCTAAGACTGGGAGGGCCTAGGGTCAATACCTTACAAAAGACACAAATGGAGGCCCTGAGACACCCCCTCTGTCCTCCTCCTTGTCCACACTCATCCACAGCACGGCCCCTGATTGCATCTGTTGACCTTTAATAAATAGCCAGCTATCTCTCCAGCAAAATGGTTTTATTTGGGAATAACAAAGAATTGAAATTCAGGACGTGTGGTCTAATGGGGTGCACATGCAAGTCCAGAGAACAAAGGAGAAGAACACTCTTTATGCTGTATAGACCGGGGAGGGGTAAGGGGGGGACGGACACAGGGATGCTGGTGTAAAGGAGTCTATAGAAAGAAATTAAATGTGTAACCAGACAAACAGTGGGTCCGTGCTGCCTGTCACTGCTTGAGCCAAGTAAGCAGAGACAGGGTTGAATCATCTGTGAGCGTTTATTCCAATACTGCTGGCAGTATGGGAGAGCAGCAGGTCTCCCACAAAAATCTGCTCTGGACCCCACCGTAAGCCGGCTGCTTAGATTGGTAGAAGTACAAAGGAAAGCAGGCGAAAGGGCAAATGGACAGTTTACAGATATGCAAGGACTGGGATCTTGGAGGGGCTGATGATTCTGGTTCCTGCAGCAGAGTTGTTCATCTTTCCAAGATAACAGGCAACTCCAAATGGGGAGGGCGGGCTGCATTCCCAGGTGAGCCCCCAGGTCCAGAGGGCGGCTGCCAGCCAGGTTAGGATGTGCCTCCTTTAATCAGAACAAAACAGTCACAGTTAACAGAGCATGAGTAATATTTCTTGCAATTTTAGCTGGTTCCTTAGCATTCTCTTTCTGCCCCTACTGGATGGTCAAAGGATAAGATTTTTCATTGGCTGAGTTATGGCAGGCTCCCATTGGCTGAGCTGTTACTGGGCAAGTTGGAATCTCTTCTTCCTCCTAAGTAATGTAGTGCACTTCCTGTTCAAGACGCAAGGTATGTTTCTGCCTGTTTTGTGGTGAGTGGCCCATCCTGAGAGTTCTCTCTTCACGCCTCCCAGTTTCCTGTTGAATGAACCCTCGCACCTCCAGTGGCTGACCCGTGTCGGCCAGGCTGGGCCTGGGTGCCGACTGGGGGATCAGCATGAATTCTCGAGGGAGGCAGTCCTGGGTTTATTTGCTGGTCTTGCCATTTGTGAGCTGGTGGACATTGAATTTAGTTTCCTCATCCGTACACTATGTCCAGTCATTAAAATAGCCACCTTCCAGAGGCCGGAGCGTAACCAACAATGGTGGCGAGAACAGTGGAAGGCCTGGGGCTACTCGAAGTACTCGGTCTGTTCAATCTCCAGTTATTCTGCTCAGGTAGGCATTCAGAGCTGGGGCCTGAAGACTGGTCCTTTTTTAAACCTCTCCAGTTAGTTCTCAGACCAGTCAAGTTGAGAACCATCACTGTGTGTTAATATTTAGACAGTGATTAACCGCTTGGGGTCTTAGAGACAAAGAGACCTAATCACTCACTAGCTCACTTGTCCAAGTCTTTCAACCTCTTCAGGCCTCAGTTTCCTCATCCATAAAATGGGAACAAAAATAGCATCCACTTCTGAGGTGAAATGAGCCAGTTTAGGTGACTGTGTCCGGCGCACACACAATGTTTGGTAAATGTTAGCTGGTGCCATGAGGCCAACTCCTTTTTCTTAGGTGACAGAGAACCAAAGACCTTCTGATCTTTGTGTATAGGCCACTCTGTCTTAGCTCAAGTTCATTGCTTTTCCAGCATGTTGCTTATTTCAAATCCTGTGTCAAAGGAAAGAAGGCCTTTTTAGAGGGCTAGTATGTTATCGTGGAATAATCCTGTGTTTGGTCCAACAGGACTGAGTTTGAGTCTGTTGTCAGTTTGAGTCTCAGTTTCCTCATCCAGAACACGGGAGAACGAGACCCTGCATTGCTGTGAGAATTAGAGAAAACGTGTGTAAAGGACGCATCATCTAGTTATTGCATGATTGTCAGTGTTTTGGTTATAACATGTACAGATGTGAAAACAAAGAGGCAGGAAACCCCTAAGAAAATTCAAACAGGAAACAGAGACAGAGGAGTGGATGGGGGATGAAGAAACGCTGGGGAGGGCCTGGGGCTCAGGGTCCTGGGGACAGATCTCCATCCATACTACCTACCACCAGGCTCGACACCGACACCGCACTGGCCCTGGTAACTCCTCTCCTGGGAGCCTGGCCAGGGCTGGGACAGTGCTGTTACCTCAGGGCGGGGCTGCCCCA